CAGTTTTTTGGAAGTCACTAATATAGAAGTGAGAACTGGACGTGCTATGAAGGGTTCCAGAATGCTGCCTCTGAGAGTAAAATTCTCACCCTCAGCAAGCTAAAAGTGGGCTGAAATCAAACTGAACCAAAGACAGCCATATTTAACCCTCTACAGAAGAGGGCCCAAGGAAGGGAAAAAAGAATATTAAAAGAAGAAGACTATATTCCCATTAATTCTCTAGTCTGTGGAACAAGATTTATTTCTATAATGAAATAGGTGGTTTTCAGGAGGCTCATTTCACTCATATTGATATCAGATAGTAGACACCAGCTAAGGAAAGGGCCTCAGCTAAACCTAAATACACACACAAAATTCCTGAGCCATTTCTGCTTTCATCAAGAATGCTTCTGGAATGAGAGAGGAAAAAATATGGGAATTAAAATAATTTAGAAATTCTGAATATATTTCTGTTTGCCTGCCAGTTTTCCTCAGGCAAGAGTACATGCCCCTGACAAGGTGAAATGCTGATAAATCAGCATTTGGTTTCCTTTTAGTTTAGGTTACATTTTATCTTTTTCACATGAAACTTCCTGTGATGGGCATACAGACAACCAGGAGGATGTTTTCTTAGGTAGGAAATTACTAAATATTAGGCAGTACCTGTTTGTTATTGCCTATACCCTTTCCCCTGTTTCTTCAAAGAAATGGGTTTAATGGGAAAAAAATAGCATGAAATAATCTAATTTTATGAGATTGCAGTGCTAAGCACTAATTTCTTGTTCTGGTTCTAAAGCAATTTTCTCATTATCTGCCCTGCATAATCTTTCACAGTGCCTTCAATGTGCTTTATTCTACTCAGAAGTTCTGTAGGAGTGGTGCAAACCCAAAGTGAGACTTGCCTGAGACTAAGAATTTGAGCCCTGGAGTGTGTCCTCAGTGGTTCATGTCCTGTGTTAATTCAGTGGCAGCAATCAGCACGAAGTACTAGTGCTATCACAGGTTTCTCAAGTAGAGCACTAGAAAATGAGAAATTGCTCTATGTGTGACCACTTGTCTCTCAACATTTTGACTACCAACCTGTGGCTGTGAAAGAAATGAGTTCTTTTGTGGCTGAATGAATTGTGTGAACCACAGAAGCATCCTTCTACTGGGCTTGTTACCACCACGTTTCAATAAGTGTAAAACAATGTAGTATATTTGTCATATGTGCAAAACAATATAGTATATTTTGGATCATGAAATTTCTGAGCTCTATTGCCAGAGCATCACATGATACAACATTGAAAGAGCTAGGGAGCGTCACATTATATAATCTCAGTAGAAATAGGTATTCTTTAGATAAAACAGAATAAAAGGGATGTGAAAATGTGCCCAAGACGATTATAATGTGAAAAAAAAAGTGGTAGAAACTGAGGATAATGCTCCCCCTGCCCCTGAATTTTCAAATCCTAGTGGCTGGAGAGAGGACTTTCTTCCCAAGCTTTTGTGTTCAAGTGAAATGGGGCAGATTTTTTGGTCTGGTGGCCAAACTCCTCTTCCAGATGATGGATTTTTCTTGGAGATCCATATCCCCATCTGGCCAGCTGGAGGACCTGAAGCAGCCTCTGGGATACTGGTAAACGTCAAGTGCTTTAAGGCTGGTTTTTACCTGGGGGTCCCCAACCTTCACATTGTGTCTTGAGCTTGTGGAAGTTGCAGCAGCATGCAGGATCATATTGGACATCCCATAGAAAATGCAATTGTGTTACACTTTTAGTCATTTATAAAGCAGTGCGCAGCAGATCCTGAAGTAGTTTATTTTCTTTAACTTATGTGTGTATCTCTGGAAGGAAACACATGTTTCTCCTCATGGTCAAGTCCTGGAAGTTGCAGTTTAAATTTGATGAAGTGTTTTATTCCCCCAGATAAAAACAAATAAATAAAAAATTAGATTTAAATGCATTTCTTGATGAGGAAAGTCAGGAATCCTCCTAATTAAGACATTTCTTAGAAAGGTAAAATTTTTATCTGGGAGCATAAAACACTTCATCAGTTTTAAAGCCACATCTGCAAGGAGTGGATAAAGAGGAGAAACAGGCATTTTTCTTCATTCTGGCTTGTCTGTGAATTTAAGACTTTTAACAACAGTTTTAAAAATATTTAAGCCCAGTTAGAAACACTTGCAATATAATAGGGATAAGAATGTGCTCCCTCCCTCTGTTTTTAATCTGGTTCTCTTGATGGAATAAACTACAAGGTTGAATTGGTAACTGGATTATTGCCTCATAAAACAGCACGAGGTTACTATTATCCTTTAATTTTATATCTTTATTAGGGAGTAATGTTGGTCTTATTTAAATCACTGACTTCTCTAATGGTTTTTCTCCCCTTTTACAAATTTATAAAACTAAACCCTAAAGGATTTGGTCTAAGTGCAATTGGCATAACTGCCATTATAAAAATCTTTGTGTTAGCAGTTGGTTATAATCAGCCACTCTAACTGGGCTCAGAATGCAGCAGGATTTAGCTGTTGATAGGTAGAATAATACTGATGAAATATTATTTCTGAATTTTATTTTAAAAAGCTCCATTTCCAGTAAGAACTTCTGAATTTTGAGGCAATGTGAAGATCAACAGCAGTGCCCTGGAAACTTATAATTTAGCATGTTTGCGCAAACAATCTATTTAACATACTGTGTGTTTCTGCAAAGATTTTAAAAAGCTTGTCTTTGCCTTGCAATTCAGTAAAGTGACTTTGAAAATTCATGAAAGTTAGTCTTTTTTAGAAGGCAACTAATAAAAGTGGCGTATTTAATGATGTGTTCCAGTGAATACACCCACTTGAATTTTGGAACACAACACATACTGTGGGTGAATCATTGGCAGTTCTCAGTAGTAAAGCTCCTATTGGATTTGTGTCATCAGGATATATTTAAAATTTTGATAGACTGGTTTTTTTTTTTTTGAAAAATGTGACATCAATCTGTTGATCTCATGCGCTTTGATCAAGCATCCATCAGAAGGAAAAGAAACATGGGTCTGTCTGTCCTGGTATAGTTCTGTAGTTAAGTTACAGTTGAATTTCATACAGAAAGTGAAGTATCTGCCACCTTCAGTGACCGACTGACAGAGCATTTACTGTTTGACTGCAAGCCAGGTACTGACTTTTCAGTCAGTATACTTAGAAACTAGTCAAAAAAATTGTTACAAATTTTGCATTTTTCTCTGCAGGCAATCTTACCAGCGCAATAACATGGTTACACTACAAACTTTTAATTAAATCAAAGCAGATTTTATGTTTAGTGGAACATTTTAGTATCAGTCATAAAAATTCATCTCTATGTTTGCAATTGCCTTTTTTGATTGGGACTGTGCAGGCAATGCCATGTAGAGCTGCTTTCTCTTAAAATACCCATTATCCATGACAAGCTTCTTTCTGAAATTTGCCTGTAGTGGGTGTTTTAAATAAGCCCTTCAATTCCCCTTTTAGCTTCATTGAACAAAGACTAGAGAAGATATTTACAAAATACAGGAGAGTGAGCTTCACATTAACCAAAAAATGTGAAGTGATTACAGTTTTGGTGAAGGCGTTGTGGCAGAAGACATCTATCTCTTGGATCACTCTGAAATTGAGAAGAGATTAAAACTATTTTGAAAAACAGGAATTATTTTCAGCTGAATGATGTGGTGAAATACATGCAACATGATTTTCTTGCAATTTTTTTTTTCCTTATGTAACATTATGGCAAAAATTAATGAAATGTGAATGAAAACAATTTTGAAGCTTGGGCAAGAGGGAAGAAAGACACAGGAGGGTGTAATTTGGTGGCAGGAAAAATTCAGCTGAAACTTGAAAGCAAAGTAGACTGGGGCTGTGCATTTGTATGTGTTCTAGAAAATATCCAATGCAAAACAAAATGAATTTTTGGGAGTTACGTTTTGAGGAGTAAGTGGAAGCATGGCAAGTAAGTGGCACTTGAAATTAAAATAGGAGGTATTCACAGGGAGATACAGGACAGTGGGTGAGAATATGTGAGTGCCATGAGTTCCACATAGGTTCCATGGCTCTGGTTCCTTTCATATATTCTGCAAATGCCAATGCAGCTGTACATGTTTTACCCTTGGTTGTGTTTATTAGTGCTTGCTGGTCAGAATTTAAAACAGAGGTCCTAATTTTGAGCATGGTCCCAGGTAATTCCTTGTGGTGCCTTTAATGTAACATGAGCTTTGACTAATAATATGATTATTGCATATATGAAATATCCCTGTCACATTTTTCTTTTTTTTCTAAATTGTGCAAATTTGTATGACTCCAAAATGTATCTTTTCTGAGAATGGAGATTGTAATATAATCGTGTGTATAGTTAGTGTCACCATGATCATTCACAGGCAGAACTCCTGGAAAATAGAATTTTCCTATTGAAGGTCTCCATATTTGATGAGAATGATTCACCCTATCAGAGAGGCATAGACATAGCAGATGATTAGGATAATGTCTGTCATTTAGCACTTTGTAGGGAGCTGCTTGTTATAAACCACTTTGTGTATTTAATTTAATCCTAAAGGAATTTAATGAACCTTGGAGAAGGGACTTCATGCTGATAATTGCATAATAACCCATTTTTATGCCAGACACTTAATGGCTAAGAGGTTATCATTAAATGTGTATTAAGCAGTTCTCTTCTATAACTATCTTTCTAAGATGTTCTCTCAAGGGTTATAATTTGTTGACTAAACAGTTGTCTGTATTCAACATTTTTGCTTCTTTATTGTTTTGTTTTCAGAGCTATTTTTCTCTTGAAGGACACAAAGAAAAGTTCCTGTTTCTGTTGGTGTGTTTTAGATAGTTCCCAAAAGAATACTGAAGGTGTTGAAGTGCTTTACATGAAATTAGACTTCACATGGGAACTTTGTGTGAGATTTTAGTGAACTGCAACCTCAGTTAGGGTGTTTTTTTATTGCAGATTTGCCTTAAAAGATTTGCCTTTGGACCATAGACAAACATGTAATTTTTTAATCTCCTCTTTTAATTTAGACTACTGAGCTGTAAATTGAAAGGAAGATAATTTCTGCTTGTGGAGGAAAAGAAGGGTGAGCAACCTCAATGGAAGACTCTCAGGATTTAAGTGAACAGTCAGTAAGTACAAATGTTGCTAAATTGAATATAATAAATTGAACTCTGTTCAATCAAGTTGTGTGAAAGGATTTTACTTTGGATTTGAAAATTATACTAAGATCTGAGGAAATCTTTCGAGCTCGTAGTTTTAAACCTTTTAATATGTACATTAAATGAGTGGTTTTAATCTTTTTTTCCCTGCTGAAAGAAACAAGATCTTTGTTTTATAAGATTTTGCAGAGCTCCAGTTGTTGGAGGGATATAATTAAGCTACACTGGAATAATGAAATGTTGGAAACATTCACAGTTTCAAGGCAATTATTTGCCTTGTTCAAATAATTGCATTAAAATGTGTATCCATAGTGGTCTATAAGTTTTTCCAAATCAAGGGTTACCAAAAAGAGAAACAAAATATTTCAAATGATTTGACCGCGGCAGATGACATACATTAATTTTTTCAGGATTCTCTTGGATTTCAATGGGACTGTGAAAATCAGTAATCTATCCCCCTGTTCCTCATCAGAGGGAAATTCCTCCTGGCACTGAAGACATTTCTGGGAAAAATGGGGTGGACATTTCTTCTCCCTTTTCCTTTTTTTTTTTTTCCTTGCCTTTAAGGATTTCTTCTCCAGACCTCCTCACCACCAGACTGCAGTTCTGAGGAGAAAGCAGCTTCTGAGCAAATTCAAAGCTATCTGGGCTTGTCATCCAGTGTATTTGGCTGCTTAACATCTTAATTTTCTGCTGTTTCTTACTGGTCACAACAGGGACCTGTTTTGCCAGTACCATGATCCCTATGATTCTCAGCTTGGCCTTAGTGTACTAAAGAAGAACGAAGGGATTTAGTATTTCTGTTTCTGATATGCTGAAGGAAGTTATCCATGCAATAAACTAGTTTGAATATATATATATATTTAGGGACTTTTGTGGGTAACACAAGTTCAAGGAATTGGGAAGGGTTGTATTTCTAAAATGTCAGTAATTTTCTTTAAAAGGAGTACTTTGCTCCTGGCTGGGTAGCTCCTATCTGAGACTTTACCTTGGACTAGAGTTTTATTACTGATTTTAAATGGTACAGGACTGGAAAGTCTTAACAGTGTCTTAAGTCCCCATGGTGGCACTACTTGGGACAGCTGCACATACTTGTGTATTTAAAGTGTTCCCAAGCAAAACTTTAGAGCCTGTAAAAGCTACGTGGCTTCATAATTTAATAAAGTTTTATAAAGGTCATAAAAGATTAGGCAGAAGTTCATCTCTTGCAGTCTGTGAAACAATTTTTCTATGGAGTATTCATGGTGTGTTTATTAACAGGAAGTAGATGAGCCAGTTTAGCTTACTGAAAAAACATCTTTCCATAGTAGGTAAAATGTTTTTGCAACACTGGATGCCTGATAAATGCATATTTTAGCAGCAATTTTACTACCCCATTGGATAGTATAATTTCTGTAGTGTTTCTCATAATTTCTACATAGCTTTATGCTACATGTGAAAATGGTCTTCAGATTGCAAATTGAGGTGAAATCTGTGCTGTGTTTTATACGAAGGTAGGATTTGCTGTCTTTATGCTAAGGACACAGAAAATCGTGATTCAAGACAAGTTTGTTCTTCTTACTCTTCACTAACAGTGTCAGAACATAAAGGTAATGGGTGGGAGAGCCATTTCATCACTCCCTTTATCCAGGTGGGCACTGACACTAAAATCTAACCAAGAACTTGGGCACTGTCCTGGGAAAAGGAATTATGTGAGGCCTGTGTGCCTAGAGCAGCCACTAAGCCTTAATTTCTCAACTTTAACAGCCATTTCACTCTTATATCATGGTAAAACTCTCTCAACCAATTTTCAGAAAAGAAAATAGCATCTCTGGGCTATGTCTGTGGGCTAGAGATCCCAGGAAGCAGGAGGCTTTGGTGGTTTGAACTCTAAGGAGATATCAGATGCTTCTGCTTAAGGTGTAGCTGTGGTGTTTCGTACTGTGTTTTATACTGGTTAGCTCTGGGCAGTTTCTGTCCATCAGGTGGGATTTCTAATTCTTGACATGCTCAGGGAGCATAACTACTTCTTTCGAGCCTCAAAATTTCATTGGGGAGCTAAATGCATGACATTTAGATTGTGAAAATTCATGGAGCATAAGGATTGAGCCTCTGTTGCATGTGTATTAGATCATGTGAATAAGCATGTGTGCAAGACTGTGCTCAAACTTGTGTTGGTGCCTTGGCTTCAAATAGTCAAGTCCTTGGTTACTTTAGAGACTGCCTTTCTCTGCAGCTGAGATGGCTTAGAAGGTGTTTTCTCTTGCATGGTGTTTTTGTTAGACAGTTGAGTTTCTGAAGAGAAAGATCCCTTTATTAGATTACCTGGGCACTCTGTTGAATAATCTTTCATCCTTGGGAAAAGAAGCCAGGCACAGTTCATTGGTGAACAAGTTCCACAGTGAACAAGATTAATTTTCAAGTTTTTATTTAAAGAAAGGAAATTATTGTAGCTTTTGAGAGTAGTTCATCCTCCTGAAGCATCATATACTGTAGTGTAGCTTTTATTCTGACAGTCTTCTCTGTAAGTTTGAGATCACTATTATTATTTTAACTCAAAGAAATACTCCAATAAGAAATTATTAATTCTGTGATTCCTTTCCTGAAAGTGTATCAGTTAGGTGAAACTTACATGATCATACCTGTGAGCAATTCCACAGCATCCCTGTTGTCATATGAGAAATAAATTATTTTCCTTTTGTCTCAATGCTGACTCAGAGCGATGACTGACTGCGTGACCACACATTGCTTCTGAAATCTGTCCTCCCCTATTCTCAGAGCCTCTGAAGAGTTGTGCTTGACTGAACTGAACAGCTTCTGTTTTCTGAGATGCCAGCTTGATTAGATCTAATATATATATATATATGTATATATGTATATATATGCCATTTATTACATTATGTCAGTAGTTTGTTCTTCCTATTTTTGATCAGAAGTCAGTCTACTTGCGTAATTGTCGTGCTCTAGAGCCTCTGTACTGGGAAACCTCTTGTTTCTCCTTTCCTTTTTCTTCTCCTGGATGGTAGAGATAGGGGAATCAAGTCTTAATCAAGATCATGCAGCAAGAAAAAGAGTCAGAATCAGAATAGGTTTTATTGTATTATGGCTTTCCTGTCTTTACTCACAATTGGATAGGTGAATAGTTCTATTTTGAAGAGCAGCAGAAAAATGATGCCTTTTACTAATGCCATTACTGATGCAGAGGTGAGCTGGGATCCATCAGGTGCAGTTGAGATCCAGTGGATGCTTGCAGCTGGCGTGGAGCAGTCTGGGATAGGGCCTGTCATGCTACTGTACTTTCCAGGGTGGGTATGTGTCAAAGAAAGCTCACAACTTTCTTTTTCTTTTCAATTCAGGTGCTGAACATATTTGCACATCCGTGTGTGGGATTTTCTTTTAGTTTATGTGAACACTCAGTTAATAGTATTCTGAGTGAAAAAAAAGAGGAAAATAGTAAGACATGTTGCACAGATAAAAGAAAATTACCAAATGGTCCTTTTGATGTTCTGGTGTGAGGTCTGACACCAGGTGCAGGCTGCTACTTACCAAGTGAAAGAGTACTTAAAGCCATGTAAATATGTCTTACATGGACAGATGAAGCTATGTTAAAAGTTCTGTTGATTTTGAAATGGAAAAGAAGGAAATTTTACTGATCTTGTGATTATGGAGAGTCTAGAAGTAGGGAGACAAAAGTTTTTCAAGACTGGTTTTGGAGATGGTAAATAAAATGATGATTTTTAGCAGCTAAATAGTCCTCTGGTGTGCTTTAGTATAGCAGAGGCACTTAGGATTTTGATAACTTCAGGTTTACACTCTTTATTTGTCTCTTTTAGTCATCACTGTCTGTTCAGTCTGTGTTAGTAGAAGAACAATTTGGCTGCTAACTTGCTAGTTTAGGGTTTCAAAGGGCCTTATTAGAAACTGGTGTAATTTCATCCCCTGGCCTTTTTATATAACAGCCTGCATATTTAGATTACTTCATTTTAACCTAGAATTAAACAATAGATTGCAGTGCTGTAGGACAAGACACTAGCAGATGTGAAGCTAAACCTGAATGAACAGGTTTTTATTTTTGTGACATTTGGACAATCATCCCCCTTGTGCCCTGGGTAAGTTACTTGGGTTTTTATCAGATCCTACAGACTGTTTTATCTGTTACTTGTGTCTATGGACCCCTTGCAGATGGATGATCCTTGGCAACCTTTTTTGGACAGTGTTGTTTCCCCGTTTTTGTTTAGTTTTAATGTGTAAAGCTGTCAGATGTGATCCCTTTGCAGATCAGTTTTCAGCTGCAACTACTTCTCTGTTGCCTGAGCCCTGTGCCTGCAGCACTTAATCTTCCCCACCTCTGGGGTGGGCAGCCTGCTAGCACTTCGGCTGGAGCTGATTGCAGAGAAATGAAAATTAGTTTAAACTCTTCAACTGAATTTTAAAATGCTTTGTTTCACTGTTCTGTGCTGCAGCATAGCAAGTTGTGGTTCTTATCTCTGTTATATCAGTATTTGTAGGACTTCTAGGACTTTGTAGGAATATTACAGGCAATTCGACTTCTCAGGTTAGTGATGTTGCTTAAAAGAGATATCTGGAAGTTATCTGCTCTAGCTTCTGATCATGCAAATCTGGCAGTATGCACAAGTACTTCAGTTATGAAAGTAAAGAACATTTGGGATAGGTAAGTAAAGAAATTACGGATTTAGTAAGAAAAAAAATTAGTTTCTTTCATGACTGATTATTTGCTTTTAGTTAAAATCAATCATTGAAGAAAAATGTCATAACTTCAAGTCAGTTGTTATAGAAAATAATAGAAAACCAGCCTGTCTTTTTGAAGGTTTATTTCAAAGTATTTTTGAGAATTGCTTAGGTATTTTACTACTTCCTTTCTAGAGAGACAGTAACTGTCACGGAGAGGTGGCTTGCCATAAAGGATCCCAAATTATCACCGATTTTGACTTACAGTAGACCAAGAATAAAGTGTAATACCATAATTCCTT